TATGCATTTGTTCTTAAGGCTTGGTCTTGTGCAGCCAGAATTAGCCCCTCTGTCTCTTTCTTCAGCTTTCCTCCTCTTAGCCATTGCCAGGTCTTCTTGTTATCTGCTTTGCCTGCTAGTTTTTTTGTGTACTGGCCATGTAATATTTTACCTTGCCATGTCTCTTTTCTATTCTTCATTTCATCTTTCTTGTGGGCCAGTTTGATCTCTTCAGTATTCAGTAAGCCTTAATGGTGTACTAGCTTCAGTGCATCTTCTTCATTGTCCTTCAGATATTCTTCTAATGCCCTTTTTTCTTCTCCAGCTGTCTAGTGTACTTGCAACATTCCATGCTCACCAATACTCCTTGGTAAGTAGAGTGTCAACGTAACTGCGTGGATGAAGGGCATGATTCATTGTCATTATTTTTCTGGTCATCCTATCCAGGGCTTCTAGTTCAGCTTGAATCCAGTCCGCTATTCCAGCTATGTATCTAATGACTGGAATTCCCAGGTGTTAATTGCCTTGATGGTATTTCCTCCACTGAGTTTGGATGTTAAGATCTTCTTCACTCTCATGATGGATTCACTCCTAACCTTCTTCTTGACTTGAATGTGCTTGATGTCGTCAGCTTGAAGGATGCCCAGGTATTTGTAGTGATCTTCTTTATCCAGACTGTTCATGTTATTTCCATAGGGCATCTTGATTCCTTCAGTTTTCACTATTATTATTATTATTATTATTATTACTACTACTATTATTAAAAAAGCTGTCCCCGTATTTGACATGTATATGGAAGTCACATGTTTTTGCCAAGATATGAAGAGTGATAGATAGAAAGAGCTCCATCCACTCATCAAGTGATGAATGTCTCTGGGTAGGATATCTAAGAACTTGATGGGGGAGGAGGGGAAGAGGATGGACGAGAAAGGGTCTTCTGTTCTGAAAGGCTTTTCAATCCAGCAAGGAGTGAGGAGAATAAGAGGGGCATTGAAACCAAATCCCATAAACAGTAGAGTGGGATGATATCCTCCAAGGGGAATATTTCCCTTCAAATTTGACAAGTTTTCTTCGACGTGACATATTGAGAATATGGAATAGATATAAACCTAGGTTGTCTCTGAAGGTTCCTTTATGGTTGTCACCACAAGAAGCTTTTTATAGAAGAGAAATGATAACTAAACATAAATGGTTAACTTATGGTGATGTATTGGAATTTTCTCAAAGGCACTTTAAATTAAAGACTAGAGAAGAATTAATATTAGAAGGATACAGGTGTCAATGGTTTTCCTATGTACAATTACAAGAAAGATTTAAAATAGATAAAAGGACTTATGGTTTTGGATATGGTAAGACTGAATTTGCAGCAGAATTATGTACTAATGATGAACATGTTATTGCAAAAATGTACAAACTTTCATTGAAACTAGAGACAGAAGATGAACAAGTTAATAACTATATGATAAATGGGCTAAAAACTTTAGCTACAACATACAGATGGAACAATGGGAAAATATGTGGCAGAAAGGACTGAAATTTACATTTTGTTATAACATTAAAGAGAACTTTCATAACGTGATGTATCATTTGTACTTGTTGCCAGAAAAATTATCTAAAATGTACAAAGGTACTTTGAATGTATGTTGGAAATGTGAACAAGAAGAAGGACATTTTATCATCTCTGGTGGACTTGTAAAAAGCAAAAAAAAAATTGGAATCAGATACATATTTCAATACAGAAGATTTTAAAGATTAATGTTCAATCAAAACCAGAGACTTTCCTTTTGGGTTTAATGGATAAACAGTTGGAAAAAACTTATAGAACTTTGTTGTTATATGTGATAACAGCAGCAAGGCTTTTATATTCACACAGGTGGAAAGATAAGATTCTATAATGGAAGAATGGATAGTGAAGCTGATGGACTTGGCTGAGATGGCGAAATTGATGGCTTTGATTCAAGATAAGACATTGTGTAATTTTAATGCTAACTGGAAACCTTTTTTGGACTTTTTGCAAGAAACAGAAAAAATGAAATTATGATGCATGGATTTGATTATTAGAAATAATATGGGTTAATAGAAATAATGGAAGTTATGTTGTAAATTTAGAGCAAGAGTTCGATCTATATAGTTACTTATATCTGTTGCAAGGAGTCAATTCTTTCTCTTTTTTTATCTTTTCTTTTTTTCTGCACTCTTGATCTTTACTATCCTCTTTTTTTCCAATTTTTTTCCTTCTTCTTTTTCTTAATATTAGTTCTTGTTAGTTTTTACTGGTTTTTTTTTAATTTAATAAAGTTATTATAAAAAAATTGACAAGATTTCTGCATGACAGCTGATCATGGTCTGTGAAAGTTAATTTCAGGGATACCCCTGAAAGTCAAGAGTGGGAAGCCCAAATGCTAAATGAACACAGTGTCTGATTGTGTCTTACCAAAAATAAGATAGGCAACATCAATCTAAACCTGGGAATTAAGAAAAAACTCATGAGCATGAAAAAACTCATGAAAATAGCCACAGGGAGTGACTGAAAAAGTCAAGTCAAGCCATGACACACAGAAAAAAGGGTGGGCTTCAGTCACATGGTTCTGCCTGCCATCTTGACTTTTTTTACCCCGACATCCCTGAAAATAGCATTTAGATTTTGCCTTTACAGCATAAACCTAACCCTGTATGCTCAAAGCCAAATTCCACTAGGTTTGGAATCTGGAATAGGGATATAGTTCTCGCAATGCACAATAACCTTTTACTATCAGCAGCCTGGGGAACAGACCCCCCAAGGAAACATCCAGCACAGGAAGGCCTGAGTATGTGGCATTTGACAGGTAGGAGCAGTTTCCCTTAGCCCAAGCTTAAACAGGGAACAGGATGACTGGCTTCGCTGTGTCTGCATGGATGTTTCTTAGCCTTCCCACGGTCTGCCAATTCACCAAAACTGCCATATGCAGCAAATGGCAAATTGAGGTGCAATTTTAAAAACTTGAAAAAGAAGTTCTAATTTCAGTTCTCTGTCACTGAATCATGTGTAAATATGAAGAAT